CTTCTGACCCCCTGCTTTGATCCACTCTCCAGTGAGGTCAGGGAATCTGGTTTTCTTTTTTTTTTTTTTTATCATTTTATTCTGAGTTGATAGCTGTTATTTTCAGGATGTTTGACCCAGTAGGAGCTATTCAACCATTACCAGAGTCAGAAACTCCCCAGAGCACTTCTAGAGTATAACCCTCCACCCTCTTATGAAAACCCTTCCTTCGTCCCTGTCTTCTGTCAAACTTTCTCCCTCTCTCTCCTCCAACACCTGCCCTGCTCCTGCAAGAAGGCAGACCAGTGGGCATGAGCTGTCCCAACAAGCGGAGAGAAAGAATCTTGACTTTCTTCTGCTCCTTGGCCTTCCCCTCCCTCAGCTCACCCTGATCCTTGCTGCCATCTGAAACCTGAACACAAACACTTCACTCTCTGGCCAAACCCCTCGTTCTGCTCACTCTCCACTTCACTGTGGTGACACTGCTTGGCCGGGTCTTTGGTTAATGTTCCAAAGAACGCAAACTCAGCAAAAGGTCAAATATCCCTCCTATTGAGAGACCTGTTTTATTTATTTATTTTTTTCACATTTGGAATCTGCTGTTTTAGTCTTACAGGGAAGTTTTTCAAGAACCACAGGATTATCAGGAACAGTCTTCTGATGTTTCATAAAGAGAAAAGGTGGTAGGGCTTGGCAGTCCAGCATGGTGGTTAAGGGCATGAAATCTAGAGTCAACAACACAAGGCCATGCCTAGGTTCTACCCTGATCAGCTGTGGTGCCCAAAACAACTCACTTCCACCTCTTTGGGCCTTGCTTAACTCATCTGCAACTGGGGATGGTAAACCCAACCTCACGGGCTTGCTGTGAGGACTTAAGTAAGATCATGCCCATAAAAAGCTTCACAAGTAAGTAAGATAATAAGCTCACTGAATGCTACCAAGAAGGCTTACCTAAGATACTCACGTGGGAATGTTTTGAAACTAGTTAGAGGTGGTTGGTTTCTCAGCTCTGTGAATGTACTAGATGCCACTGAACTGTTTGCTTTAAAAAAGGTAATATTTTAATAAGTATTTCTTGATTTATTTTTTAAAATTTATGTATTTATTTATTTAAGCTCTACACCCAACGTGGGGCTTGAACTCACAACCCCAAGATCAAGAGTTGCATGCTCTACTGACTGAGCCAGCCAGGTATCCCTTCAATTAAAAACAAAAACATGTTCATTTGGGAGAGGGTCATAGATTTCAGCCACACTTGTGGGCATGAGCCAGGTTTTTTGGAGAGTTTGGGGTCAGGCTGGGAGGTAGAGGACAACAAGTTGATTGATGAGGTTGCAGAGGGAGAAGGGAGTGTAGCAGTCACATAAGTCCACTGTGTCCCACCATCTCATGTGTGCAAACCTGGCCTGTGAGGCTCTCTCTGCCCGGCCCTCCTCTCTTCCCCTACCTGTGAACTCATCCGGCAAGACCCAGTTCAAACGACACTGTCTCTAGGAAGCCCTCCCAATCCTCAGCCCCAAGTACTAAATTATTACACATAATTATTAATGCATGCTAATGGAATCATGAGGACTTTAGTTTATCTGGGTCTGCTCTCCCACTAGTCTAAGAAATCCCTAGAAGCATGGGTAGTGCCCGGTTCCCAACATGTCCGAGGTGGAACTCATCATCTCCTTCCTCAAACCTGCTCCTGATCTGTGTCCCCAAACCAATAAACGACACTACCATGTACCCCCACACTGGGCTCCTCCCTCACCTTACCCCACACAGCCACACATAACCAAGTAAGAATTGGTTCTTCCCTCTTTATCTTTCTCCAACCCATGCCTCCTCCCCGTGCTCATGGCCCTGTCCTCTGTCCCCTGGAGCCTATAGAAGCCATTTCCGTGTCTCCGGACCTCTAGTCTCATCTTCTCCAAAGATATGAACCATCTGTCTGAAACACAAATTTGGCCATTTTGTTCCCCTGCCTAAGACCCTTCTGGGGCTCCCCATCATCTTAGGACAGAATCCACACTCCCCACCCAGTCACATAAGGTCCGGCAGGTCTGACTCAAACAGCTTGGGTACATGTCTGGACCCAAACAGCTATGGATACCCACTTATGCACACACACACACTCCATAGACAGGTGTGTTCATAAATACATATATCAACATGGACATGCTGATACATACATGCACTCAGATGTGCAAAGATCTCTCACGTATAAGTAAGAAGATACACAACAGAGGCTTCTAGGAGAACCCACTGCACACACTGGCACGAACAGAAAGACCCAGAAGCACACAAGAGGGTTGAAGGACAGGCTGACTTGCAGGGAAGACAAAGAACAAGACAGACACAAGGGGAGACACAGAGGATGGGCAAGGTGCTGTGTGGGGGCCATGCCTCCCCACCCCCAAACAACCCCTGACCCACCCTCCTCACACAATGTCTACTCCATCGTCAATGCCACCTCCAAGGTCAATGTTCCATTCGCAGCTCCTGGGGGAAGGCTCAGCTGGGTCAAAGAAGGAAGGGCAGGCAGGTTCCCGCAAGGCTTTCTCTCCCTTCCTCCTTTACCAAAGAAAAAGTATTCGGAACTTTAGACCAGAGAATATAAAATCTGGAAGGGGGTTTAGAGAATCCCTTACTTCATCCTGAGGATTAAATAGGAACAGCTACTATTTGTTGGCACTTCAAACCCATTAACCCACTGACTCTTCCCATAATAGGCTAAGAGGTACATCCTGTCATTGGCCCCAGCAGGCTCAGAGAGGTGAGGTGACCTGTTCAAGGTCCCACAACAAAGAAGGGATAAAGGATTCCAATCCACACCTTAATCTTGCCTTAACTGCTATGCAGGCTGTTGGTTGGGATCAGGGAGACTGATACCTGTCAAGTTTGTGCTAATATTCTGGCCCTCCTTTTCCCCCTTTAAAAACCAACAAACATTCCCGGCCAATGAACAAAAGCAAAACAAAACAAAAACCAACAAACAACTTTCCTCTCTGCTTTGTTCTCTGCTCTTGGTTCCCTCCCCACAGGATTCCAGCTTAGAGGTCTAGAACACTTTGAGCAACATGCCAGTCCTGAGAGCGCCAACCTCACCCACCTGCACTCGTCCAAAGTTGGAGCTGGCCTCTGAGTGGGCGGAGGGAGGTTTCTAACCTTCAGATGCTGCCTCGTGCCCATGGGGGCCCCTGTCAGGCCCACGGAAGACCAACCCAGCACCCACATGGTGCTCATGTCACAGCCGGCTGGGGCCACCTCAGAGCTACATGGTGCCACCCTGATGACCCCCAGAGGCCAGCCCCAGTGGCCACCGGGGCCTACTCTCAGACCCTCCTGGCGCCAGAGGTGGCTCTGTGAGTGTTCTCCTGGCATCAAGTTCAGGGTCAACTTGCTTTCAATTCCCATGTCTAGCGGGGGCGAGCTGACGCCAACAGCAAAAGGTGCTAGTGTATCTCTGTGTCCAGCGCCGATGCCAATCCCACACCACCCCTTGCTAAACTTGGTCTCCACTTGGCCCTCAGGGTGGGCTAGGCCAGTCAGTGGAGGAAGGAGAAGACAAGCTTCAAATCCCAGCTCCCTACCTGCTATCCGGGTGTGACCCTGAGCAAGTGGCAGTGGGGGAGGCCTGCTCTTCTGAACAGCAAAAGGAGGATGCTATGAATGGGACCCCTGCTAGAAGGATTCCATGAGACCACATGTCCACACACCAGCTCTGCACAATGAGTGCTCGCCAAAGGCTAGCGCCCTATTGTTAAGGAAGAAGGTCGCTGGGGGAAGGACAGCAGGGCTACCATCTTCCCTCACTCCCACTTCCAGCCTCCAGGGCCTGGCTCTCTCCCCACTCAGGAGTTTTCCCAATCCTCTCCCGCCATCACTCCCTCTGTTTGCTGCCAGCAGCCCTGCCAAACCCCAGAGGGACCTCCCACACCCTCACACTCCACCTCCTCTTCTCAAGTGCCCCCCTCCCACTGGCGGGGAAACCCAGCCCCAGGAAGGGGGAGTAAGCATGCAGACCAGGAGACACAGAAGCCCCTGCCCACCCTCTGTTGTCTGTCCTCAGTATTCTCACACACCAAATGGGGAACATTAGTAGCACGACTACTAACAGCAACAATGGAAATGATGAACCTAGTGAGCTCCCCCAGGGACCTGGGTAGGACCGGTGAGGCTTTCTGTAAATTATGCCCCTTGAGACAGTTGGGACTACTTGGCACCATATGGGTGGATGTCATTACTATTTCCAAGTCCTTCCCAGGCCCTCTGCCACGGAGACCACAAGTTACTCTTCCTTCCTTAGAAAGGTTCCACTTAAACGTGGCTCTGGACTTCTACCCCTTTCCCAACCACAGACAGGCAATGACACTGATCCTGACCTTGCTCTGAGGTCCCAGTGGGAATTCTGGGCACCAGAGGAGGTACTGTGTCCAAAGCAAAGGTCGGTCAAAGCCTGGGAGAGGTACCGACTCTTTGATCCTGCTGGACTCCCGTATACTTCTTCTGGGAACCCCCCATCACAGCCAGGGGTCCTCCCTCACCCCAAGACCCTCAGATCCACTCCCTGGGATCTCCCCTCCAGAGACCTTTAACTGTACATCCCTCCTCAGGAAAAAATCCCAAAACTATGGCCATACATGCTGTCCCATTCCAGCACTCTTAAACCCAGATCTCTGGATTCTTTTCTCCTAAGATGCCCTAATACATAATTTTTGGGCCAATTCTCATTCTGAGCTCAAATCCAAAGTTCAGGACTCTGAATCTATATATTCTAAAATCTTAAGGTTCAGAATTTGTCTACTGCTTCACCCAAGTCTACAGACTTGGGGTGGCCCTTCCTGAGGCGTGACACATTCAGTCTTGGGGACCACTCTCTGTTAATCTCCCTGAGTTCCCCTCTTCCCTGCCTTGCTGGCTTATCCCAAGCTCAGCTGTGAGTCTGGGGGTGGGGGTGGGGAGGCAGTGTAGCTGGGAAGTGAAATGGCAATTAACAAACAGGACCAAAGTCCACCCTTCTCTCCCAGGTCGTATAAAGGCAAACAACCCCAGTCAGCACCATCTGACCATCTCTCCCAGTACCACCATGCTGGCCTCAGGGCTGCTTCTGGTGGCTTTGCTCACCTGCCTGACCACAATGGTCTTGATGTCTGTCTGGAGGCAGAGGAAGCTCTGGGAGAAGTTCCCTCCAGGACCCACCCCATTGCCCTTCATCGGGAACTACCTGCAACTGAACACTCAGCAGATGTCTGATTCCTTCATGAAGGTGTCAGGACAGGGGATGGGTGGAATGGGGGTGGGGCTGGGAGCCTGCCTAAATGAGCTGGGACTTGGTGGCAGGGGATGGGCAAGGTTGGACCAGAGTCTTAAGAAAGTGGAAATTTGCAGGTTGGCCAGCAGGGTCCTACATAAGAAAGAGCAGATTTTGGGATGTCCAGGCCTTTCAGTATCAGAACCTGGGGGAAGTGCATGCAGTAGGTGAGGGCTGGGCACAGGGCCAGTTCCCAGTGTGGGCCGCAGCCTCTAAGCATTCACCTGCATCAGATCAGCGAGCGATATGGCCCAGTCTTCACGGTCCACCTGGGGCCCCGGCGCATCGTGGTGCTGTGTGGACACGAGGCAGTGAAAGAGGCTCTGGTGGACCAGGCTGAGGAGTTCAGCGGGCGAGGCGCACAGGCCACCTTCGACTATCTCTTCAAAGGCTATGGTGAGGAGCTCCGGGTGGGGGTGCGTGGCCAGGCAGACTTGATGGCCTCAGTTTCCCCACTGTTCTTCTCCTGACCTCACCCGCCCAAGGCTGTGGCCAAGTTCTACCCCTGCTTCCCTCTGTCCTTATCCCTGGTTATTGTGGCCTCTCCTTGGTCTTCTCTAGCTTGACTCAGTCTCTATTCCCCCTGCTTCTAGGCCCATCTTCTTCTCGGCCCATCTCCCTATTCTCTCTCATGGATGCCTCTTCTTCCTCTGGGTCTGGGAGAAGCTCTTGGGATTTCTGCCTTGAAGCCCTGGTCCTACATCCCCGTGTCCTTGCCTCTCTCCTGATTCTTTTCTTCCAACTCTCTTTCAGTATTTCTCTGACCCTCAGTTGTATCTCTCTCTGTCTCCCTCACCCCCCAACCCATCCTTCTCTACTCCTGCTCTCTGCCTACCTCTGTCTCCACCCCTCCCTGCCTCACCAGGGGTGACGTTCAGCAACGGGGAGCGTGCCAAGCAGCTCCGGCGCTTCTCCATCACCACGCTGCGGGACTTTGGAGTGGGCAAGCGCGGCATTGAGGAGCGCATCCAGGAGGAAGCGGGCTTCCTCATTGAAGCCTTTCGGGGCACACACGGTGAGCAGGCCTGGGAGTGAACAAGAAAGAGCCATACACCCACAGGGACCCACGCTGTCTCCTCCGGGAAGGGGACTGGCTTGGGGGAAGGCATCTGGGCTCCAGACTCTGGGATCTTGTGCTGGAAGTTTGGTTCCTCACTCCAGTGCCCTCCTCCAATACTCAGGCTGGCATCAGACCGCCCAGTTGACGGTCCCCCAAATCCCTGTCTCTCCCTGACCCCATCCCATTTCCCAGGTGCCTTCATCGATCCCACCTTCTTCCTGAGCCGAACAGTGTCCAATGTCATCAGCTCCATTGTCTTTGGGGACCGCTTTGACTATGAGGACAAAGAGTTCCTGTCACTGCTGCGTATGGTGCTGGGAAGCTTCCAGTTCACAGCTACCTCTATGGGGCAGGTAACCCATCCCAGTCTGGCTCTATAACACCCCTACCACAACCCACCAATTGCTTTCCCTCATGGAGACAGGTGCCCTAAACTCCCATCCTCCTATAGTAGGGTACCCTCAAAACCAGCCCCCACTCTTGGACAACTGAACAGTTGCACCAGAATAGAGGACAGGTGCCCAGTACCCAGTTTCCAAAGACACTTGGATATCTCAACAGTAGCTCCTCACCAGAAGGAGAAGGAGGAGAAGGAGAAGAAAAAGAAGAAGAAGAAGAAGAAGAAGAAGAAGAAGAAGAAGAAGAAGAAGACAGAGGAGGAGAAGGAAAGGAGTAGGAAGAAAAGGAGTAGGAAGGGGACAGGGAAGTGGAAGAGGACAGAGAAGGAGGAAAAGGAGGAGGAGAAAAGAAGGAGAAGAAGGAGAAAGAGGAGGAGGTGGAAGGGGAGGGGGAGGGGAAGAGGAAGAAGGAAAAGAAGGAGGAGGAGAAAGAGGAGGAGAGGAAGAGGAAGAAGAGGGAAGAGGAAGAAGGGGAGGGGGAGAGGAAGGAGAAGAAGGAGGAGGAGGAGAAGGAGGAGGAGAGGAAGGAGTAGGAGGAGGAGAGGAAGAGGAAGAAGAGGGAAGAGGAAGAAGGGGAGGGGGAGAGGAAGGAGAAGAAGGAGGAGGAGGAGAAGGAGGAGGAGAGGAAGGAGTAGGAGGAGGAGAGGAAGAGGAAGAGGAGGGTGGAGAAGAAGAAGAAGAAGGAGAAGAAGCAGAAAAAGAAAGAGGGGAGGGAGAGAGGAGGGGAAAGGGAGAGGGAGAAAGAGAAGAAGGAGAAGAAAAGAAGGAGGAGGAGGAGGAGATGGTGACCGGAGCCTGCAGACAAGAAACACATCCTCATACCAGCTCTCTCACCTGGGCAAGTGTTCCCATCCGGACTTACCTTAATATCTAACAGTTAGTTGCTCCCTATTAAGATATTCCATCTTTCTATCTGAATATCTTAACACCTGGACAAGTAACCACCCCAGCCAACTTCCCAAACACCCAGACACCAGGTGCTATAAAATCCAGCCCATCAGAATCATTTGATATTTACACAGGTGTCCCACACTGGCCCACTAGAATAGCTAGTAAGTGCCACCTACAAGCCCAGTTAAATATTTGAACATCAGGGCAGGTTCCAATAATGATTCCCTAAATGTGTAAACACACCTGGACAGACTGCTCCCCAAATACTGAAATAAGTATCCCCCAACCCAGCTCACTCAAACACCTACAGATGTGTCCCCTATCAGCCCATGTGAATATCTAAAACACATGAACAGGTGTCTCCCCCCACTTTAACACCTGTATACCAGCCCCACTTAATACATGAACACCTGGACAAAAGCCCCCAATTCAGATCCCCTAAATATCTGGACAGTTGTCTCAAACTTGTGAGACCAATTGAATGCTTAAACACCTAGCTATGTGTCTCCCAACCCAACCCTGCCTGATTATCTGAACACCTAGATGTGTTCTCCAATCCAGCCTCACCTGAATACCTGAAACCTGGATATGTGTCCCAATCCATCTCACCTACATTCTGGGACAAGGGCCCTCATACTTAACTCACGTGAAAACTTAGATATCTCCTCCCATCAAGCTCCATATAAATCATAAATACCTGGACAGGTGCTTTTAACCCACTGCCCTTCTTGCCCTGAGAAAGGCACCGCTCCCAGCAGGACTTGCCAGTGAACAACTACCCTTCCCTGCCTTTCTTCCCTCCCCATCCTCAGCTCTGTGAAATGTTCCATTCAGTGATGAAGCACCTGCCAGGGCCACAGCAACAGGCATTTAAGGAGCTGCAGGGTCTGGAGGACTTCATAGCCAAGAAGGTGGAGCAAAACCAACGCACCCTGGACCCCAACTCCCCGAGGGACTTCATCGACTCCTTCCTCATTCGCATGCAGGAGGTACAGCTCAGCAGCCAGGGTGGACAGCTGCAAAGCCAGGCAGAGGGAAACCAGGCTGGGATGGGGCGAGCAGAAGCCCCTTCAAATCATCCCCCTCATAACATCCTCACAATCTCAAGAATAATAACCATGGCTGCTCCATCCACCAGCACTTGTCCGTGGGCAGGACCTGTGTGCGAACCATAAAGCAACACTTCCATACCATGCACTCGCTCTCTGTATCCCTCTCCTAAATATTCCTACCTTAAAAAAGTGACACCAGGGCTGATGAGTAAAGGACAGGTAGGCAGCCAGGTAAAGAGTGTGGGAAGGACATTTTGGGCAGAGCCAGCAGCCTGAACAAAACCCTGGCAGAACTAGGGTCTCTCTTCCCACCTCTGGTCTGGACCTAAGAGAGGTGGGTCCAAATGGAAAGACCCCAGAAGGGCTCTAAGAGCCCTGAAGGAAATGGGCCTGGCCTGAAGGCCTCTCTCCCTTCAGGAGCAGAACAACCCCAACACGGAGTTCTACATGAAGAACCTGGTGCTGACCACACTGAACCTCTTCTTTGCGGGCACTGAGACGGTCAGCACAACCCTGCGGTACGGCTTCCTGCTGCTCATGAAGCACCCAGAGGTGGAGGGTAAGACTGTGGGGGCGGGGCAGTGAAGTGGTGGCCACAGACCCTCACACTTCCTCTGAGCCCACTGCAATGTCCCCACATTTCCCAGATGTCTGGAACCTCAGACATACCCTGTTATCCAGATGCTAGGTGATATTCTGCTGATAAGCACCAGCTGAGTTTCACTGGCTGTTAAAATCCTGAAATATCTGAACGGGTGGGTAAATAGCTCCTGTGCTGAGTCACAGCTCCCGTGTTGAGACCAGGTGAATAGGACACTGCACCAACAATGCTTATGGTCAAGGTCTGTTTTGAATGATCTACGTCCATATCACACATGGATGTACATATTTGGACTATCATCTCCACCCTGAGACCCCTAGATACCTAAACACTTTCCTCCTCCCACAGCCAAGGTCCATGAGGAGATTGACCGGGTGATTGGCAAGAACCGTCAGCCCAAGTTTGAGGACCGGGCCAAGATGCCCTACACAGAGGCGGTGATCCATGAGATCCAAAGATTTGGAGACATAATCCCCATGGGCCTGGCCCGCAGAGTCACCAAGGACACCAAGTTTCGAGAGTTCCTCCTCCCCAAGGTACTTTCCTGCCCCACCTAAGGGGACCTCCAACCTGCTCCCTGTGACCCAGCACCCCATTCCCCTTAGAAGCTTCCCAGCCCCTGTCCCACTGCCTCAATCAAACACTTCCCCAACCACCATGACCCTTCAACCTTCCCACTCAGAGATTCTTGAATCCAGTATCTCCCCAGAGCTCTTGCTGCAGGGATTATGAACCCCATGTCCCCAAACGTCCTCTCTCAAAAGACATGAACTTCATTTCTAGACCTCCTCCCTCAAGGACACGAGGCTCGTGTCTCCCAAAACATCCCGCCTAGGAGACATAAACCCAATGTTTTTCAAACTTCCTGTCTCTGGAAGCATGAACCCCCATGTCCTCTCAACCTCCTGCCTTGGGAGACATGAACTGCACATCCCCTACACCTTCTGTCCTAAGAGACACAGAACCTGTGTTCTTCAAACTTCCCTTCTCAGGAGACGTAAACCCCATGTCTGCATAGCTTCCTGTCTCAGAGACCTGAATCTCCTGTCTCCCAAAGCTCCTCCCTAAGAGGACCCACACTCCTCCCACACCTCCCATTTCTCATCACCTAGGGCATCCCAATCGTCCCTCCAAGCTCCATGCATTTTCAGCATACTCTACCCCCACTCCACCTTATCAAATACCCCTTCTCCTCCTCACCAGGGCACTGAAGTGTTCCCTATGCTGGGCTCCGTGCTGAGAGACCCCAAGTTCTTCTCCAACCCCCGAGACTTCCACCCCCAGCACTTCCTGGATGAGAATGGGCAGTTTAAGAAGAGTGATGCTTTTGTGCCCTTCTCCATTGGTAAGAGACCACTGTCTGCTGCCAAGTCACCACTCCCACCAACAGGGGCTCCTTCATCCCAGCTCTCTTCTCTAAGGTGTAGCCTGGTGTCTTTCTCCAGCTTGGAAGTCCCTCTCATGATCTACCTTGGAACCCCTCAGCTGCAACCCCCATAACGACTTGAGCTTAAGCAGAAGGATAAGGATGATCACCCCTGTTTCAGAGATGGGGAAAATCAAAGCCCTTAGTGAGTCAGACATTTGTCCAAAGTCATTTAAATTCTTTAGATTCCTCAGTTGGAGGTGAGGGCCCAGCAGCCATATCTGAGTGTGTACTTGGAGGGAAGGGACATCTAAATTTCCCATTGCTACAGCTAGCTCATCCCCATCCCATGCACAAGGGAAACTGATGCTCCGAGAGGATTAGAGACATCTCTGGAAGTCTCTCAGGCCACGCTATTCCAGCCCCTCCTCCCTGGGAGAAAGCTTCTGGGGGTGGGTAGAGGGGCAAGGGAGCAGACCTCACCTCCAGCCCTCCGGTTCTGTGTCTTCAGGAAAGCGGTACTGTTTTGGAGAAGGCCTGGCTAGAATGGAGCTCTTTCTCTTCCTCACCACCATCTTGCAGAACTTCCGCTTCAAGTCCCCGCAGCTGCCCCAAGATATCGACGTGTCCCCCAAGCTCGTGGGGTTTGCTACCATCCCACGAAATTACACCATGAGCTTCCAGCCCCGCTGAACAAGGGCTGTGGGAGCGCAGGGCTAAGGGGAAGAACAAGGTGGAGGGAGGAATCAGGGGTGGGGCTACTGAATCGGGTGGGGTTAAGGGAAGGGCGGGGCTAGTGGGGGGAGGTGACTTAGGGGGAATGAAGGCACAAGGTGAATAGGAGAGGAAGAGGAAAGGAAAGGCCTTTTGTCTGTTGACTTTGCTGCACATAGATCCTTAAGAGGTGGGGTAAGAGGGAGAACCTTACACTCTACTGTTAATAATAATAATAATAATAATAACGCTTAATTATTTATTGTATCAAATTATGCATCAGTTCTGTGCTAAAAGCGTCAAACACTTACATCACTTAATGCTCACAAACCTATGTGCCAGGGAACGGTGTTCATGCCCGTCTTACAGGTGTCAAAGCTTAACTGATTCCCAAGGAATCTACAGCAAGAACAAAAAAATCCTCTTTATTATTAATGAGTTTAGTAAGGTCACTAAACATACAAAAGTCTTTTTCTGTTGTTGTTTTTCTATATATTTTAGGAAACCAAAATTAAAAACACAATAACACTTTAGTCACTGAAAAAAACAAAATACTTAAGTATAAATCTGACAACACGTGTACCGAGCCTGTATGGTAAAAATTACAAAATACCGATGAAAGAAATAAAAAATATATATATATTTTAAAGATTTTATTTATTTATTTGACAGAGAGAGACACAGCAAGAGAGGCAACACAAGCAGGGGAAGTGGGAGAGGGAGAAGCAGGCTTCCTGCCTAGCAGGGAGCCCAATGTGGGGGCTCGATCCCAGGACCCTGGGATCATGACCTAAGCTGAAGGCAGATGCTTAACGACTGAGCCACCCAGGCACCCCAGAAATAAAAAATATTTTTAAAGATTGTATTTATTTGAGAGAGAGAGAGAAAGAATGAGCACAAGTAGGGGGAAGGGGCAGAGGGAGAGGAAGAAGCAGACTCCCCGCTGAGCAAGGACCCTGGGATCAGGACCTGAGCCGAAGGTAGATGCTTAACTGACTGAGCCACCCAGGCGCTCCGAAATAAAATATTTTTTAAATAAATAGACATACTATGTTCATAGATTGGAAGATCAGTACAGTAAAGATGCCAACTCCCCCCAAATTGGTTTAACACAATTATTATAGAAATGACAGCAAGATTTTTTTGGTATGGATTTAGACATTTATTTGAAAATTTATAGAAAGGCAAAGGAAGAGCTAAAACAGTTTTAAAGAAGGGTAAAGAGTGAAGAAACACACTTTCTGATTTGTTCCCTTGGGATTCAGAAAAAGCTCTGTTTAGAGATAAGTTTGTAGCCTTACATTTTCATACTGGAGAGGAAGGAAATCTAAAAATTAATGTAAAAATTAAGTGTCCATCTTTAAAAGTTAGAAAACGGGCTCCTGGGTGGCTCAGATGGTTAAGCGTCTGCCTTCGGCTCAGGTCATGATCCCAGGGTCCTGGGATTGAGCCCCACATCAGGCTCCCTGCTTACAGGGGAGCCTGCTTCTCCCTCTCCTTCTCCTGCTCCCCCTGCTTGTGCTCTCTCGCTCTCTCTGTCAAATAAATAAATAAAATCTTTAAAGAAAAAGTTAGAAAAAGAACAACATAGAAAATCAAAGATAGGAGTGCTTGGGTGGCTCAGCTGATTAAGCCTTCAGCTCAGGTCGTGATCCCAGGATCGTGGAATTGAGCCCTGCCTTGGGTTTCCTGCTGGGCGGGGAGCCTGCTTCTCCCTCTCCCTCTCTCTGTGTCAAATAAATAAATAAAATCTTAAAAAAAAGAAAAAGAAAATTCAAAGATAGTGTAAGGAAGGAGACAACAAATATCAATGCAGAAATTAATGGAAAAAACTTTTAAGTTGTTATGAAGAGTATGGATTCAATATCTCTTGTCAACATGGCTACACTTCCTCTTCTCTTTATTTTGATATAGATTCACAAGAAGTTGTAAAAATAAAAAGTACAAAGAAGTTCTGTGTATTCTTCCTCCAGTTCCCCCCTATGGTAACATTTTGCATAACTGTAAGTACAATATCAAAAGCCAGGAAATTGATGTTGGTACAATCTACAGAATTTGTTCAGATTTTACAAGTTTTATGTGTGTGTGTGTGTGTGTGTGTGTGTTTCAATGCAGTTTTATCACACCTGTAGATTCAGGTAAGCACCACTCATATATAAAACAAAGGACTTATATACGGAGTATGTAAAGAACTTTCAAACCTCAACATAAGAAAACAAACAACCCAATTTAAAAATGGGCTAAATTTTTGGACATGCACTTCACTAAAAAAAAATATGTGAATGACAAACAAGCTCATGAATCAATGCTCAACATCATAGTCATTAGGGAAATGCAAATTAAAACCTAATGAGATAACCCACACACCTATTAGAATGACTAAAATAAAAAGTACTAGCGATACCTAGCATTGGCAAAGATTTGGAGCAACTGGAATTCTTATATATCGCTGATGGAAATACAAAATAGTACAGTTACTCGAGCGAAAGATTTGGCAGTTTCCTTAAAAGCTAAATATAATTTAATCAGATGACCCAAAGTCCCATTTCCAGGTATTTATTCTCAAGAAATGAAAATTCATGTTCACACAAAACCTGTACATGAACACCTATGGAAACTTTATTGATAATCTCCACAAACTAGAAACAACCCAAATGTTTTCCAGAGTTAAATGGATGAACACACTGTGTCACATTCATGCAACAATATTACTCAGCAATAAAACTAACAACTGTCGATACACAGAATTTGGATGAATTGCAAAGGCATTGTGCTAGGTGGAAGAACCCAGTCTCAAAAGGTTATATACAGTATTATTCCATTTATATGAAATTCTGGAAAGAGGCAAAAATATTGATACAGAGAACACATCCATGGTTATCAGGAGGTAGAGGTGGGGTAAGGATATGAAAACAAAATATAGCATAAGATAACCCTTTGGGCTCTTGAAATTGTTCAGTATCCTGTCTGCAGTGGTGGTAATAAGAATCTATGCATTTGTAAAACCTCACTGTAAAAAGGAAGTTTTACTGTATTTGAAATTGTTTTTTTAAAAGAGTAACTAGGATTTTTTTTTTTTTTAAGAGTGAGCCAAATCTGTAGGCAGATTATGGGGCAAAAATCTTAGCTGCAGATGATCTAAAATGTGCTGTTAGCTTGAGGTCACTGTGAACAGTCATGTGTCTTTTTAAAAAATATTTATTTATTTATTTGAGGGAGTGGAGTCGGGATTCCCACATGTATGGATGCAAATGGAGGAGACAACACAGCCTAATTACCTTGATGTGGCAGCTGAATGGGATGTGATGGAGAGAGAAATAAGTAACAGGAGAATTTGGGGAAAGGAGAAGCTAAGAAGGAAGAAAACAGGCAGACTCCAACAACACAGTGCTTGAGGGGTGCCGATGGATTTCTGATGTTTATGCCCCTCGGGTGCTGTACTTCGTTCTCACAGCCCTAGCAAGCCAATACGCCCAGCATGGCCAGGAACAATGACTCAGTAGGAGGCACCGAAGACCTTCCTCCCCATCATCTCCTTTGGGCTTGATGCAAAATGCCCTGATAAAACCTGGGAGCAGCTGACAGTAGTGATTCAAGAATGTACAGGACCTGGTCACTGCTGTGTGGTTCTCAGGCTTCCTCCTCAGTACCCTTGGGCCATAGCTCATCAGTCCTGCAGCCAAGCACTTTGTAAGAAATATCCTGGGTGTGCATGTGGAGAATCTGTTGAAATCCCTGAAGGAGGTGGTGGGGAAGCCAGGGATGAAGGAGGAGAATGTGGGCACCTGCTCTTCTCCCCGTTTCTCCAAGCTGACAGTCAGGATAGCAGGGGGAGAGTACGTGAACTCAGGAGGGGAGTTCTGGTCTCAGATAGGAGATGACAGTGTGGGGCGCCTGGCTGGCTCAGTCGTTAAGCGTCTGCCTTCAGCTCAGGTCGTGATCCCGGGGTCCTGGGATTGAGCCCCGCATGGCGTTCCCTGCTCAGCGGAAGCCTGCTTCTCCCTCTCCCACTCCCTCTGCTTGTGTTCCCTCTCTTGCTGTGTCTCTCTCTGTCAAATAAATAAATAAAATCTTAAAAAAAAAAAGAGATGACAGCGTGAAGGTACAATGGGTATGTTTTAGAGATGTGGATCTCTGCCCACCTCTGCCACTGATGCTTTGTGTGGAAATTCACAGTCCAAAAAATAGACAAAATCCCTGCTTTCATGGAGCTTACATTCTACAGGATTGAGGAGTCTATGATTCTAAGTTTCATGGTTCTAAGACTGATTGGATCTAAGGGTAAATGTTTCCAGGATTTTGTCTGTTATCTAAAAAATAGTCACAATGTACTATTCTGAGGACTGCCAATTTCTCACTCACAGTGCCTATCACACAGGATCCCAGGGGCCATGAGGAAGAGAGGGACAACCCCTGGGTCTCCTGATCCTACATCTCCCAGCTCACAACCCTGAGATCAAGACCTGAGCTGAGATCAAGAGTTGGACACTCAACGGACTAAGCCACCCGGATGCCCTGACTTCTTCTTATTTTTAAAAACTCTTTAAAAAGTATTTGGGTGTTAAAGGCAAAAATAATGATGATACATGGTAGGATTTCTAATACATGCAAAACTCTTAACAATAGCACAAAGACCAGGAGAAAGAAAATTGCACAATGCTATCCTGAGGTTCTTAAACCATGGGTGAGGTGGTACAAATTACTTGAAGATAGACTGTGATATGTTTAAGATACATAATATAAACCTAGAGCAAACACTTGGAAAACCAGATTTACAACTAGGAAATAGCACTACTGTGTATTATGAATTATCCTTAATGTTTTACATTTATAAAATGAATCCTTACCGTAATGTATGAGGTAGATACTACCTT